CAGGGAGGCCTCGGTCCCGTAACTTTGTTCCCAGGATCGCTTCGCAGATTTGGAATACAGATTTGAGATCAGCGTTCGAAAACACCTACGGGGGTACACATCTCATCCTGAATGGCCACTGCGACCAATTATCCTTCCCTTGTTAGCACCGGGGAATGTTTTGCTAGCTCTTGCATGAACCGCGCTGTTGATTCCCTGATTGCATGTTTTAATTGAGCAGCCTTCCCTTTCGAATGACTATTTCCCGGAAATTTTTTATGACTTTGGGTACTAAACATTCGACCCAGCTGTTTGCCCAGGAGGAGTTCTTAGTTAGTGTAAGAAAAACGGTCACCAGCGATGTCTTCGATGCTCCTATTTGGGGAATCGTGCTAAGGGAAGAGCAAATTGAGCGTTGCGCTTCCTCGACATTCAATCCACAACATGCGAAATCGATACCCATCTAATGTGTATTTCCTTTGCGGTGCGCGTTCGCGTTCCTGTCATTCCACCATTTTCCATCTATAAACTAGGGCTGGACTAAGCGGAGCTCGTTGAACTTTTTTGAACTACCGAATGAGTACTGATTTGCTTATTTTCTGGTTTTCCCGATTTGATGCTCCACCCGTCTCTCATCGTCATCCCGTTCTCACTCTTTGCCAGGTTGATTAACAGAAGCAACGAAAAGAGCAGTGCATGTATTGATTGAAATCGCGCCTGCCCCTTGTCGCTGCTGAGGCGAAATGGTGAGTTAGCGAAAATGACTAGATCGGCATCATTTGCGCACAAATCTACCAGAATATAGGTGCGGCACTGACTTTATGGTATAGCGCATGAGAGTGCTATAGAAGAGGCATATAGAGTTGTTCAAACTTTACTTCGTACAAATAAACATACACTTTACGTGATAGGCAACCGGAAGAGCAGGTGGATGAAGGTGGCGACTGTAGCTGGATATTCCGTTGTCGAGCCGAAGCGAATCCAGAAAATGTCATTGCAGTGTCGGTCCCGAATGTTCAGTTGTTCTATACTACAGTTTACGCAGTGGTACCATTGCTTGGTGGATTTTGCTTCCACAATTGGCAGCACTTCAGGTGGGTGGCGCTTTGCTTCACACGATAAGGGTGTTATAATCTGTGTCAGCTTTAACAGATGATGTTTACAGCGGCTGCAGCCGCCAGCTACAGCCTTCCTTTCGCCTCGTCCACGCTCTGCCTATAAATCGCGTGGCGCTTAGTTATTCGAATGTGAGTACTTCTTCCTGAAAATCGCGTCGCGCTCGCCGCACCCAATCGCTCGCTTGTGCAGAGAAAGGTTTGAATTCTCGGTGGAGGGATAAGATAGCTACCGCGGGACCACTGCCGATTGCCGTATACCGTTACCCTAGTTGCAAGGTATATGAAGACTTAGGCTTTAGGTAATGA